GTGACTGCTTGAAGAAGAAGGGTCCCCAGAATTTAAGAGGAGCAGACTGAAGTCAGCAACCGCTTTCAAGCACTCAGTCGTGGAAGAGTTGAGCAAAAAGCAGAAGAAATTATATTAGCAGGCATGATGCAAAGGGACTCTCCAGTCTAGAGAGCTGGAAGTGCAAGGCTCCATTGATAGGGGCTCTAGGACCACTGTACCAGCAAGAAAGTAGTGATGATGATAGGTTGGAAAAAGAGACACCTATTTGTACCCTGGATTTGGGGTCCTGGGAGGTGTGCCCAGATTCTGAATTTGGGATGTCCCAGAAAGATTGCCAAAGCTCATCCAGTCTTCAGGTCATTACTCTTCCCTGCTTGTCCATGTAGGCACCAATGATACTGCCAGGGATGATACTGAGCAGACCAGAGGTGACTACAATGCTCTTGGCAGAAGGATTAAAAAGAACTAGGAGCACAAGTGGTGTTCTCAGCAATTCTCCCCATGGAAGGCAAGGGCCCATGCAGGGACCACTGTATCCTGGAAATAAGTGTGTGACTGAGATTGTGGTGTCAGTGTGAAGACTGTGGATTCTTTGCTAATTAGTGGATGTTCCAGGGAGGAAGGCTGCTGTCAAAAGATGGGATCCACGTTACTAGAACTGAAAAGGGCACCATGAGGTGCTGTCTGGCCAATCTTGTAAGGAGGGCTTTAAATTAGGTTAAATGGGGGATGGTCAACAAAACCCTCCAGCAACAGAGCAAATGCTCCAGAGGGGAAAGTGTTATACCTAGGATGACTCTGGGGGCTTTTATTTTATCCGGAGAAGTATAAAACAAGTCAAAGCAAGTTCCTTTGAACTGTATGCCAGTTTACTGGGAGATTAGCAATCAGATAAAATTGCCAATAGCAGCTAGACACAGCAGAGAATACATAGACATACTTGCTACCAGGTGGTGAGGTCTCAGGGTGCTCAGAATATGTCCTCACAGATGAGGCAAATTCCAGACTCTCGCACCTATGCCTTTGTGTGGAAGAGTTTTATACAGTTCAGATTCAAATTTCTGTATTTCCTCCCATTTCTCTAGGATAACTATCTCTTGGTCATCAAGTAGGGAGCAGGGACACTGATTCATGACCTGTGACCATTGTTCTTACCTGGGGTCATTAATTGGCATTATCACCAGCCTAGACATCTCAACTCACTTACTGGAGACTGTTCCTTACAACCTGTTTTTTCTTACATGCTAAATCCCGTGATTCAGCCTGGACTGTTTCTGGGATCGGTCTATCTGGAAGAAAAATGTGGTGACACACCCAACACCAAGCAGTTTGGGGTCTCAGGTCTTTCCAACAAAAGACGTGGGGGGGGGGGGGGGGGGGGGGGTAGGGCGTGTCCTCAGGAAGACGTGTGCGCGCGTATGTGTGTGAGAAGTATGGGGATAAACAAAATGAACTGGAATACAGTCTGTGACAGGAACTTTGATCTGATTGGTACCACAGAGATCTGGCAGGACAGGTCTTATGACTGGAATGTCAGCATTGAGGGCTACATTCTGTTTTGGAAAGAGGTTTGGGAGAAAGGTGGTAGTCTTGCTTTGTATGTCAAAAACACTGACATTTTCTGTTCCAGAAGATTGAGGTTACAACTAGAGGATCATCTATACTGGATTTTTTCCTGATCAATAGGGAAGACTTGGTGGAGGATGTGAAGTAATGAGAAGGAAGCAATCATGATATGATAGAATTCCAGAACCTGAGATGGGCACCAGAACCAGGGTGCTAGATTTCAAAAAGTGGATATCAACTGATTCAAGACGGTGGATTTCAACTGATTAATAGGCTTGGTGCCACAGGAAGACAGACTGAAGAATAAAGGTGCCCAAGAGGGCTGGAAGCTTCTAAAGGGCACAGTATTGGAAGCCCAACAAGAAACTGTTTTGACACAGTGGAAGCACAAGAAAAATCTTAAGAGATCAATGTGGCTGCACAAGGAGGTTCTAGGATGTTTCAAATGCAAAAGGAAAGCATACAGGCAATGGAAAATTAGGCAGGGGATTGAGGAAGCATTCTAAGAAATAGCAAGAACCTGCAGGGACAAAATTAGGAATGCAAAGTTAAAAAAAAAAATCAGCTGCACCTGACCAGGGAAATTAAAGATGACAAGAAGAGTCTCCATAAGTATCATGGCCAGAAAAGACCAAGGAAGCGGTGGATCCACTGTTAAATAGCCAAGGAACTCTTAACAGAAGATGCAAAGAAGGCGGAGCTACCCAACAGCTACTTTGCCTCAGTCTTCACAAAAAATTGAGCTGGAATTAGACACAAAAAAGATTATTTGGATAAGGAAAGGGACAAGCTGAAGGATGAGATAATAAAGAAGACAGTGAGAGCTCTTGATGGGTCTGCTTGTAGTTGTTCCTTGCCCTCCGGTGTGTCGACTTCTCCCCACAGTTTTGTGTCATCCGCAAACTTGGACAGAGTACACTTCACTCCCTTGTCCAAGTCGCTGATGAAGACAGTGAAGAGTATCGGTCCAAGGACCGAGCCCTGCGGGACCCCACTGCCCACACCCTTCCAGGTCGATACCGACCCATCCACTACAACTCTCTGGGTACGACCACATGAGCGCGGTTGTGCAATATGTGGCGCCACAAAAGGGGTAAAAAAAAACCTCATGGGAAAAAAAATGGAGCAGCACATGCACAGGCAGCATGCCCTTGCAGTGTGGAGAACACCAGACTGTGCAATATGTGGTGGTGCAAATGTGTTTGTGGCACCACATATTGCATGACTGTGCTCATCTGAACACACCCTAAGAGGGAACAGTATAGCAGTCTTCAAATACTTGAAGGGGTGCCATAAAAAAAAGTGAAATCACCTTTTCTCTCTTGCTGCAAAGCATAGGTGACACATAGTAGGAGCACTGGGGGACACGTGCCCCCAGCCCCCAAGATTGGCTGCTGCTGATGCTGCCACCAGCGTCTGCAGGCAATCGCCACTCACCACTCCCCAACTGTGGCTGCCTGTGGGCGGTCCCCACTCAGTCCAGTCTTGCCACCAACGTCACTGCGGCTGCCTGCAAGCGGTCCCCGCTCAGCCCTCCCTTGCTGCCAATGTCACCACGGGCACCTACAGGTTGTCCTCACTTGCTGTCGCCACGCCCTCCCCACTGACACTGCTGTCTGCGGGCGGTCACCACGCCACGCCAGCCTCAGAAGGCACAAGTCATTCATGCCGCCAAGAGTAGGACACGACCTGCACGACTTGAAGTTGCAGCAGAGTAGATTTAGATTGGATGTCTGGAAAAACTTCTTCACTGTTAGAATAGTGAAGCAGTCGAATGAAGTGCCCAGAGAAATTGTGGCATAGTACCCAGAGAAACTGTGGCATCTCTATCATTTTTGCGTGTTCAAGGAGAGGTGGAACAAGCATTGGTCAGGGATGATTTATACGTAGCTACGCCTGTGTTCTACAATAGGTATTTATTCTGCTTCTGGGCATGCAGGGGAATTTTTCCCCTCCTGCTGCTATATATGTCAGGGACTTTTTTAAGCCTTCCCCAGAGGCACTGGGTGTGGGCTGCAACCATGGCTGGGAGATTTTGACTGGGGGGTGTCAGTGCTCGTTTTGGGATTTCAACCTGGTTCTTGGCTAGAGGGTCATGCCACTCTGCTCAGGGTCATACCAATTTGGGGTGAAGAATGGGGGCCATATTTGGTGTCAGGAAGGAATTTTATTGATGTCCAGACTGGTATGGACCGTGGGGATTTTTGCCTTCCTCTGTAATGCAGGGTGTGGCCCTCTTCCTGGGATCTCTTGAGCATGTTTTAACTATCTTTGCAGCAGCAGGATGTTGGCTGCTGCGGTCCCCCTGCTTTCCCTGTGGCAGGTTATGGTGTTGTGTCAGGGTTGATTGTGTAGTTTTGCTGCGAGGTAAGACCAGGCGTGCTCAACCCCAGTCTGCAGGCCAGGTACACTGCCACCATGTCATCTGGCCCGCAAGTCTCCCCCCAGATCTGAGGGGAGCTCCACGGTCTGTGGCCCTGTCACTAAGCTGGGCACTCAGGGGATACTGAGCGCAATCCTGGTGCACGGAGGGTGGACAGGCCCCATATGGGGGCTTGGGCCCTGATTTACATTGGGCAGCAGTGGTGCAAGAGTCCTTGGAGCATAACCTTGGTAGGTTGGGCCGGGCAGGCACAGAGCCGATGACAGCTGGGGAAGAGGCAGGCAGAGACAGCACCAGGCTGCAGGGCCACATCCTGATGCACGATTGTGTCCACAGACCAGCCCAGGGCCAGTCACCTGCCCCACGGGGCCAAACCCACAGGAGTAAAGTTAAGCAAGGGGTGTATGGGATGGTTTGGCTAGGGATGATCCTGCCTGAGTGGGGGGGGGGGCCTAAATGCCCTCTCCAGGCCCCCTCCAGCCCAACTGCCTAAGCAGAGCTTCTCCAGAGCTTTCGCTCCTAGCACCTCTCTCTCTCTCACCTGCTTCAAAGTGAGCCGCGAAGGGGCAACTCTG